AAAAACAACAACAAAAAATAAACAAGTTGAATCGCACGAAACGAAAAAGAAAAGGCAAAGAAATACTGACAGGCAACAAGTAAGTACTGTAAACCGCGCGCCGACACCGCGTGGCCGCAGCCCCGTCGTTCGTTACGCCGCGTCGATTGTAGTCCTCTTTTGTTGGGACTCCCTCCAGTAGCGAGAGCGCACCGCTGCGCTTGTAGCCCCTCTCTCTCTCTTCTCTCTGGCTGCGTCTCTCTTTTTTCTCGTTTGATTTAAGATTCGTAACTCCAGAAATCTACTACTGGAAAAACTAGTAGGAAGGTTTCCAGTAAAATTTTCCAAGTCGTAAAATTACAATTTGTTATTATTAAAATACATGCAGTACGTCTCGACTTAAAATCAATTGGCTAGTCAAAAATGTGCTACCGCAAATTTACAACTTAAATTAAAATTCAAGTTTACAAAAATTTTGGAAATTTACGACGATATTTTACTTTAATAGAAAAAAGTTCCGACCAGAAACGGATCGTGAAAGCAGATGATACCAATTTAAGAGTAAGCTTTGTTCTACCTTTCTCCCATATTTTTACAAAATAGTTTATATGATTTAAGAAAAACATTACGGACCACTGTAGTAAAAAGAATTGTGACCGCGCTGTATCGTCTATCACCATATTATTCGTTTTACGGCTTGTTTACAATCCGGCGTCCTCCCTGTGTTTAGTTTAAAAGCGGGGGCTCCAGCGGAGGGAGCGGGTGGGGAGGGGGGTTGGTTGGCGCGGCCCGCTCGGCTCGGGCGTGCGGCGACGGAAATCGAGCCTCAGCCTCACTATCCCCCCTAGCACAATATTTAAGATAGCTGGCCCTGCTCTCGCTTCTCTGTTCTTACCGAGAGTAAAAGCAATGACACCTTACTTAATTATTCTTATGTTTACTTATGTTTAGTCTCAGTTAAGTAAGATTTGTAAGGTATCATCTGCTAAAAAGACTAATCTACACAAAATGAAATGTGAAATGTGTCGCGATACTTTTCTCATTTTCCATAAACTATTGTACGTGTGATTTCGAGAACTGTTCGCACTCCATCCCGCGCGTCGTCTATAACGCTGCCGGTGTGCAAACCAAACACCGCCCGCGCACAAGCCTCCCCCGTACGTACGAACGCACGCCTTTGCTCCCACTTATACCTCATCTACTACAACATTCTCATCATCTTCATCATCATAAATTGTATGGAGGGGCTCGGCTCGCGCCGCCCGGCCGGCGCCGATAACCCGCTGTGCAATGAGGGGCACGGCACTACCAACAAAACAGCAACAACAGCGACGCCGAAAGCAAAACTGCTCCATCTCTCCGCATCCTCCTCCCTCTCGTGATGCTCGCGCTCGAAGCAGCGCCGAAATTGCGACGACGCTTGAGAGAGAGAGAGAGAGAGAGAGAGAGAGAGAGAGAGAGAGAGAGAGAGAGAGAGAGAGAGAGAGAGAACGCCTCGGCCTGCGCTCCGCTCACGAACTGGCGATTTGTTGTGCGATGCTATCGGGTGTCATTATAGTTTTGACAAGCTTTAGCTATCGACGGTGTACGACGACGCGGGCATGTTCGTCTATTTACACGTTCCCCCCGCCATGTGTGTGTGAGAGAGAGGGACCGCCGAGAGAGAGGGAGGGAGAGAGGATGGGAAGAGGAGACGCGCGAGAGATCGGATCATTTGGCCAGAGGGTTGAGGTAGGGGGCATTAATAAACCGATTACCTGAAATGTGTAGCACACAGCTGACTGGCTGTTAGTGTGAGCATCCTGTGTGCTGCGGCCGCTGCGCGTGGAGAGGCGCTGCTGCCCTCTTCTCTTTTCGGATCAATGGCGTGCGGGTATCGATCGATTATTATATATTATCAGATCCAATGAATCTCTCGAAATATAAATACACTTGATCGACGGTTGCGGACGCGACTGGGACAGATGTATGGCTCTGAGGGATAAAGGGCTGACAATGAGATGATAAGGACGACAGCCTGCAGGTGGTAGTGGTGGTGGTGGTGTTTTGGGCGATGGATTACCCC